AACAGATTCTTAAGATAAACTTAAAAGCTATCTAGGTAGCTACTAACAAACTTTTGATAAACAGCATAAACCACTAGCAAACCCCAGATCATCCAAGCACTTGCAACTGGACTGGATTCCAAGAGAAGAAGGAAACACAGGTCGACCACAGGGTCAAAGAAGGAAGGCAAGAAGCCGCGTAGAGAGAGAAAGAGCAAGAAGAAGAAGAAAAAAGAGGAGAAGCAGGAAGAAGAAGCACCCAAGCCAGAGGCAGTTGACAAGGCATCTGCACCCATTCTCTCCAAGGGTTCACTTGCCAGGGGTGCAGACCCCACTCCTCAGGATCTAGAGAGAGATCCTGCCAGGTACGGTCTACGGCCAGCTGTTTGGGGAACCGTTGCCAAGCATTTCCGGCCACCATTGCCGCCATCACCCCCCGCTCCTAGGTACCCATCTGAGCCCAGTTACCCACCACCTCGTTACGAGGCTAGCTCATCGGGTCGGGAGCGTGGTGATTGGACGAGGAAAAGGTCGAGGTCGCCCAGGAGAAGGGAGGCTGAACCCCGCAGAAGGGGTACCAAAGGGATCAAGCACCGTGAAAGAGGCCGCCTGTGGCCTCACCGCCGATACTGAGGGCGATGCCGCCGAAGGCCAAGCCCAGGGCCAAAGGGAGAGCTATTAGGGCTGTCCCCAAGCGAAGAGGAGTTGCTCGTCGACCGGCTCATGCACACCCACCGGAACCAGCTCCTGTGGATCGGGAGCTATGGCGCAGAGGGGAGGTGGCCCGGTTGAACAAGTTGGGGCTCGAAGAGATGACTGTCGGGACGAGAGTGGTGTGTCCAGAGGCCTCGTGCTTCGGTGCAGCTTGCCAAGCCGCCGGGAGGATCCGTGGAGTGGAGGTTCAAGACTCAGGGATCCACTTCACCCTACAGCTCTCGGGGACGACATCGGAAAGCTTGCTGCGCCACCACTCCGGCCACCCCGACATGGAGTTGCGTTTGCATCGGTGCGAGGAGACTTGCACTGGAGACCGAACTTCAGAGGACTTGGTGCATGTGAAGAAGATCCGCAAGGTGATGAGAGACGAGGAAGGAGAAGGCTGGGAGAAGAACTTGGAGAAGGTCGAACCAGCCGAGGACGAGCTCGCGGCATTAAGGGCTCGAGGAGAAGAGCTGGGTCCGGGTGGCATTCCAGGCCATGCGGACAAAGGAGAAAGAAAAGAAGACGACAAGAGAAAGGAGAGGAGTCCCAGCCGGGGCAAGAAGTCCAAGAAGAAGAAGAAGGAGAAGGGATCCAAGAAGAAGCGAAAGCGTCGATCAAGGAGCCGGTCCCGGGGCGGAGAGAAGGCCAAGGGGTCAAAGGAGGACAAGGTGAAGAAGGTGTCATCGTCGACAGGCTCCAGCAGTCGCTCAGTGCAACTCAATGGGAAGCGACCCCGGGGGGCGGTGACCAAGAGCCAGGAGGCGCTCTTTGCCGGCACTGGACTAGACCCCCGCGAGAAGGTCAGGCGCCGTGTCATGCGCCTAGCAAAGAAGGCAGTGAAAAAGAAGTCCAAGGACAAGTCATCGTCCAACAGCAGGAGCTCGTCAACGGAGGATTCACCCAGCGGCCTCGAGGACATGGAGACGGCGCTGTTCGACCGTGTGCAACGGGTGCAGACCTTTGTCCGGGGGCCCTGAGCGCACAAGCGTTGGCCTCTATGAAGGGGAGCTTGTTGCAGGAGATCGGCGCCGAGAGCACCAAAGGAGAGTTGAAGCCCATTGCATTGATGTACCACCGCCAGCAGTTGGCCCGGAAGGCCAGTGGCCCGGTGCTTCGGGAGCTTCTGACCTTAGCGCTCTCAATAGATCACCTGTTGAAAGGGCGGCCAGCCCGTGCATGCGACACATTGCTTCAACGCATGAAGGCAATAGAGAGTGTGCTGCTAGGAGCGCATTGGTCCGTGGCGCAGCGCCTGGAGGTCACACCGACCGATTCCCTGGCCATGGCAGGGAGAGAGGAGATGGTGACCGCGCAACGTGCGGCCTACGAGGAGTCGAAAGCACGCGTGCTTCTCCCAGCACACCTCTGACCCCGTCGCCTGCAAAGTGGCGGCACCTTTTCAACCAATGCCTCGAAGGACTAGGAGTTTCTGAGATGGGCTTCCGTCCCTACTCTCTACGGAGAGGGGGCGCAACGTTCTTTTTCCAAAAGCACCAAAGCCTGGACAAAACCCTGGTGCAAGGTAGGTGGCACACACAGAAAAGTGCCAGAATCTACCTAAACGAAGGTCTCGCAGTCCTTGCACAGATGCGACTGCCGTCTACTGACCCTAAGTTGAAACCTTGGCTTACAGTGTACAAAAATTTTCTCACAGCTCCTGTCATTTCCACGCTTGAGCCTCCTTGCGGAAGGGCAGGGGGCAGTGGAAGGAATTCAAGAAATGTTTCAAAGAAACCCATGAAGAAGCATAGCAGAGGAAAAGAAGCCTTCTTTAAATTTGTGACAGTCTCCCCTCACTCCTTTTTTTAGCTGTTTACCCTTTGTTAGGAGGTGTGGCTCGCATTGGGGAAACAGCTGGATGACTCCTTATCACCTAGGGTGTGGCCAGGTGGTTTGGAGTTAGTCCCTCTGGGTAAGGATACCCATTTTAAAGGTGTGAGGGTCGTTTATGTTGTGGATTTCCTTTTCAAGTTTGAGAAACCTGCTGCGAAGTGGACCAAAATAGTGCTCCTTGCTTCTTTGTACCTACGCCCCCGTGGGTTAAGAAGCATTGCACTTACTTGGTCCCATAGCGTTTTGGCTTACACCCACCTCTCCCCCCCGGGAGCCCCTGGCTCCTGGAAGGAATTCAAGAAATGTTTCAAAGAAACCCATGAAGAAGCATAGCAGAGGAAAAGAAGCCTTCTTTAAATTTGTGACAGTCTCCCCTCACTCCTTTTTTAGCTGTTTACCCCTTTGTTAGGAGGTGTGGCTCGCATTGGGGAAACAGCTGGATGACTCCTTATCACCTAGGGTGTGGCCAGGTGGTTTGGAGTTAGTCCCTCTGGGTAAGGATACCCATTTTAAAGGTGTGAGGGTCGTTTATGTTGTGGATTTCCTTTTCAAGTTTGAGAAACCTGCTGCGAAGTGGACCAAAATAGTGCTCCTTGCTTCTTCATATATATATATATACAAGTATATATCTTAGTTCCGGCAAGTTTCGATTGAAATTCAAGGTTCTCATCGTGACAGCTCGCGACGACCCAATTCATCCTGCAAGTTCAGCAGAGATGTTGGGAGAGATATTTGGGTCCAACGCCCGAGTGATTTCCAACTGTCAGGCGAGGCTTTGTGAATATGCGCAGCTGAATAAGCTGAAAGAATGTTCCTGCTTCATGTTCTTCACACATCTTCACACCAGGCATGAAAAAACAAAGCATGAATGATGCAACGAATGGCAAAGGAATCACTGGATTACACAAAGAACATGAGAGCATCCAACTCGCCATCATTTGTGGCAGGCGGCCGAAGCAGCGTCAATGTTCACATTGGAGCTCGAGAGATGGCTTCAAACTCTTGACCTCAAGTCTGCGTAGATGGCATGCACGTGGCCCAGTTGGCCTAGCAACCATCGGTGCTTGCAATGGAGACGCGGTCTCTTGGGCAAGCTCACGATCGTGGTTATTAGTGGCCCAACAAACAAGAGCCCTGCAGCTTGAATAAGTCTGAATATGTTTGAATAGTTTTGTTCGGGCCACTCAGTACTTGGTGTAGCTACAGCTTGAGCACCTGCTTGCAAAACAAAATGCCAACCCATCAAACAGAAGGAAATGAAGTGCCAGAGTGTTGGTCGCAAGCATAAGCACGCCTGGACCGGTGGGCGGAGAAAGGCCCTTCAATGAGCTAGGACAACCAAACACACATGGTTTATCATTTTGTTGTGTTTTCTCCAAACTGTGAAATGAAGGCGAGCGTCCAAATCCAACAGGAGAAACACCCTAGAATCTCTATGGCTCGCTTTGGCGAAGGGTACCGGTACAGCTTGGATCTACTTACTAATTCCTATGATTAATCACTTTTGTACGTGCCAATCTGCAGCGAGTGCAGTCAAAAGCACATGCAAGGTGGGCATGGTGTGCCCGACGCAGAAAACAAATGAGAAAGTGCGTCTCCTTCAGCGTCAATGAGTTTCGTTCTTTTGGACACTGCATGGGTTTGTCACGTTCGCGGAATCGAGCCAAAACAGTCGGGCTAAAGCCCGCGCGCCGCCGACCCTCCTTATGCATCTTGAGTGTGGTATTGCCACGACATGTCCTGATTCACAGCAGATAATCACCCAAGAGCATCTAGCTCAGCTCCATGAAATCTGCCGAACATGCTCGGCAATTCAACAAATTACGCATTAGATTCACCCCAAACCTTTCAGGCCTTTTCCTAGCATCTAGCAGCTTAGCAGGTTAACCTTGTTCAACTACACTTCAAAGGCCCATCCATCAGTCGCCGCCCAAAAGGGGGGGGTTGCCCCGTCCATTTCGGCTGTGCCCATGTTGTTTTGCGTGCAAGGTGTGGCCGGAGGAGGGCGGAGCCTCGTCTGTACACGCGGAATTTCCCTCGAATGTACACGCGGAGAATTGATCTCGGCTGTACACGCGGCTTACACGGCTGAAAAAATGACTGAATGAATGAATGGAACCCGACCAGATTGTTTCACAATCTGAACCTTGTTGTCTCATCAATCAAACGCAGAGCGTCTGTGTGACGTGAACCTGTGGAAGCAATGAGCAAAAAAAGAGATCATCATGTAGATGAATGTCCAGAAGGACGTTATTAACACCCCCCCACCCACCCACCCACCCATCCCAACCCAACATCATCAATCAAACGCAGAGCGTCTGTGTGACGTGAACCTGTGGAAGCAATGAGCAAAAAGAGATCATCATGTAGATGAATGTCCAGAGGGACGTTATTAACATATCATCAATCAAACGAAGCAATGAGCAAAAAGAGATCATCATGACTGAATTTGTGCGTGGGCAAATGAGGCGAATCATGTGTGCGCATTTGAGTTTGGGGTAACGTGGGCTGTTTAAAGAGGAATGTAATCGATGTGTGCGCAGATGAGGCGAATCATGTGTGCGCATTTGAGTTAAATATATAAAAAAGTCTGTGTGCGGATTGGAATTATGTGTGCGCAAATGAGGTGCCATCCCTGGAGGAGGTACCAGACGGCAGCTTTGAAACCCAGTAGAAAAGAGTTGGAAGGGCCACGCCTTGGCGCACATGTGGCCGGACACGGTGCCGGACACCAGCTTCGAATCCCAGTCAAAAAAGAGTTGGCAGGGGCACGGGCATCCTTCGCCATAGCCTTGGACCATGTTGTTCTGCATGGAAGTGTGTCTGGAGAGGGTGCCAGACCGCAGCTTCGAAGCCCAGCAAAAAGGCGCAAGTGAGATCGATGCGTGAATGCGCTGTAGGTCCGGGCTGAGGGGGTAGTAGACGGGTTAGGCCTGGGCGTCAGATGCCCGTGGGTGGAGAGGTGCCTTTGGGAGCAGCAGCCCCGCCTGACCAGCAAAAAGTGAGGCTTGCTCAACGGCGTCAGCCAGAACAGGGCCATCGGCGCCTTGAAAGGACCTAGCCCACAAGGGCTCCTTCAGCTCGAGGCAACCGACTTTGCCGCGCGCTGGGTCGCCTTGATGCCCTTCAACTCCTCGTTGATGGGGATGATGGTCCACACCAGGTTGCTGGTGCTGAAGCCCGTGCGGCCCACCAGGGGTTGACCCTTTTGTAAAGCTCCACCCGGTCCTTGATCCACTGGTTGCAAAGGGCCTTGGGGGGCTCATTGAGGAGCAACTGCAGCGAGACAAAACGCGAGCCTCTCCAGCCCTCAGACGCCCTCTGGCAATACTTGCGCAGTAGCAACCGTTGGTCGCCCCCCCTCTCTTTGATGACCACCTCCCATGCCGAGATGGAAGGGAGGATGAGACCACACTAATATACTGTAGCCGTCGGCTATCAGCAGAATATAGTGCCATGGGCCATGGTGGGGATCACTCGAAGTACCAGACCACGAATCAAGTGTCCGTTTCGCCGACGCCTTTTCCAAAATTCACAAGCCAAACTAAACACATGGTAGTCGATCGAAAGGTCGACATAAGGCCTATGCCACTGAGAGCCTCTTCAAGTTGTCCGCGAAAGTTTTTTTTCTCGAGCTCGCGAAAGTTAATTTTTTCTGGCGAAAGATTTGCGAAAGAGTCTATTATACTATATATTGTATACATGAAGAGGCGATACCATCATCAGTGATTTGCAACAGTGCTGTGTGAGCAGCAACAACAACAACTACTACTACTACTACTCCTGCTGCTGCTAGTGCCACTACCACTACCACTGCGTACTACTCCTCCTCCTGCTGCTGCCACTGGTTGTTATGCTGTGCGCCTAGAAACCCACCAATGACGCGACATTATTGGCGAAAGATTCGCGAAAGTTCCGCGAAAGCATAGGCGAATGGTTGGTTTTGTGGACCCCTGCCCGAGCCAAGCAGCGACAGACCTAGCAAGATGAGCGCAACAACCGTTGATAGCTCTTCCAGCTCATCCTCCACCAGTTCTGCTGATTCATCCAATGGTGGTGATTGAGAGTTCTCGCCAATCTGCCTTGCAACACCTCAACCTCGTCTGCAGTTCCAAAATGGTGCTTGATGGAAGTGCTTAGGCTGCTATGTAGAACCACTAAATCAAGACGTTTTCAAGGAGGATATACTCCCCGCGAAAGTTAAGCATGGAGTTCGCGAAAGATTCGCGAATGTTAATTTTTTTCCGCGAAGAATGGCCTTCCAGCAAGAAGGAATTTTGATCAACCACCACATGTAAAAATTCAACCCATGACCGACAGCATAGCCCCACCTGAACCCACATCCCTCCGCACGTAGCCGTTCCGAAGCAAGTTCATACACACATGCTATCCGCCTTTGCACTTACTTACTTTGCAACAGCTGCGAGGCAAGAACTTGTCTCGGCGTGGGTAACCTAGATTGTAGGTCGCCTCACGAGTCGGAGACAGTATATATAATGCACGCACCGGATTATATAATCAACCCCCTTCAAGGTCAACAAGATCAACAAGGTCTGGGATTGGATGGATTGGAGGCCACATCCCCTTAATAAAATGATGACCTGATGATGGAGGATGAGATGAGGACCAGCATACCAGCATGGGCAAAGGGTGAATCAGAATGCAATCTCTCAAAGAGATGGCGTGAGACAAGGGTGGATCAGAAGATCAGTTCCACCATGGACCAGAAGATATTGGACACTAGAAAAAGAAATAAAGAACTATTATAAAAAAACATATAGAACCAACTATTCTTTTTCTGGGAGAGCTGGGCTTGATAATAGGGGTGGTTTCTGGCAAGGAACAAACTTATCAGGGGGAGGTTGCAGGGTTTAATTAGTTTAGTATTGGAGGCTGCAGCTGGGCTTGATTAATAGGTGGGTTCGTAAATCCCGTGTGTATAGCCCGTCCGTGGGCAAATACTTGGAAATGTTTGGGCCGAACATCCTCTCAAAACATCCCAGGTTTTCTATAGTGATGTTCTAAGTGTCTGTCTGTGCAGAATGAAGACAACTAAACAATGTATGAAAACAACAATGCGTGTTTATATTTATTTAACAGTGTGTGTTTTTTACCACAACAATTATTGGTTTTACATTTATGTTTTTGTTTTTCTTCATAAAACAGTGCATAGAGGGAATTAACAATTATCTATGTTGCCGGGGGTCGCTCCCATTATCTATCCGTGGGTCTCTTGAAGGTCGGTCCAAACTTCTTAGTGCTTAGCAGGGCGCAGACTTTGAGATTGTAACAGGCTTTTGCTGGATTGAAGCGGGTTTGAGATGGACAATCCATTCTTGGGATGTTCTGAGTCTGGCGAATTTGCAGCAAAACCAGCTTTTCAGAGACCTCATAATGTTTTATAGTTTTATGTATTTATGTCTATCTATTTCTGATGTTCTAAGTATGCAATGTTCTAAGTGTGGTGACTTTTCACCGGCGACCTTGGTGTTCTACGTGACTCTAGATCGCTTTGAAAACATGATGTTGTAAGTATTTGTTTGTCATTATAATGAAGGCTGGTGCAGGGTTTTTCATGTGTGGAAAAACCATGGCAGGCTTTACCCGCCTGATGCCACGGCCCCCTTGCTGCCGGAACCGCTCTGCGCTTCAAATTGGCAAGGCTCGTAATAATTCTGCCTTCAGCACCACCACAGGCAACAGAGAAGAGAAACCAATGTATTCAATTGATACCAATGGTGTCCTTCGAACTTCCAACTTGGAAATTGATTTGCTGCTTTGCTTCGGTGTGCGGGGTCCTTCAGCTGAGACAATTTGCCGGTCTTGACTTGCCGTCTGACCAAAGCCTCACGAAGAGCACAGGACAGAGAATAGAGGTTCCCGGCCCAGATATAAAGGGCGACAACTCAACAAGATCAGACGAAGCAGGCAAGACGACACTGAATGTATGAAGTATGAAGGCTCAGGCATCAAGACCAGGAGCTTTCAGAGTTTGCTAATGTCCCTGATGCAAAAACACGTTCAGATTGACGGTTTTCAGCCCAGATTTGGGTTTCTCTCTGATATGTCATGTTGCAAAGGGTGATGGTGTGATGCCTTTGGGCTCAGGAGCCATGAGGTCATGACTGGTCAAGGATCATTTTGACAACAGTGCAAGCGGACAATGCCAGGCTAGCAGCATAGGCGTAGCAGCAAGAGTGACATTGCCAAAGTTGAGTGGGAGTTGCAACAAACAAAAGAACCTGCAGTGCAAAGCAGGAAGGAGGTGAGGCGAATGGGGCCATGTGAGCAAGCCAGCAAGTCGTAGGGTTCAGTTGAGAATGGCGGATGAGGCGCTCGCACTGGAAGATGCATCGTAAGCAGCGCGCTGCAAGATTTGTCGCGGTTGCACCTTCATTTCAGCCAACATACACATAGACACTCTGACATTGGTTTGCTGTTAACTCAATTCCCAGGTGAAAAAAGGTGAGAGAACTGCATGGCGAAAGGTCCAGGAAAGTGTAGGTGTTTTAACAAAATGGTTTTCGCACTTGACTGCGGAAAGCGCACAGCGGCAAAGCGGCTGCAGGTCAGCGATGGGAAAAGGTTTAGGGGAGGTATCGTGGAACCACCATGGAAGCAAACAAGAGAGATTGGAACAGCGTGGCAAAAGTTCAAAACAGTCGCAGGTACGTGAACCTGGCGTCCCAGGTTCATATCCTCTCCAAACATCAGTACCTTCGTTGGCCACAGACTGATGAATGGAGCTGTGGCCCCCTGCTGTGGTAGCAGAACAAAAGCACAGGACCCTTTGGAACAGGGGTTGACACACACAGGTACCAGGTAGCCGAGATCTGCGCATGCGTGAAAGGACAGTGGCTTCTGTTTTTTCTCAAAAATTGCCGGCACGCAGTTTGATCATGCCCTTTTCGGACATACAGCCGGATAAGCTCTTCAGCCGCTGCTGAACGGTCGGCTGGGGCGTGCAAATGAATTATCGAGCATGAATTTCGCAGCAAACAAGGTGCCTTCATAAAGGCCGCAAGATGTAGCTCCAAGCCAGTGAATACAACATGTTAGAAAGCATTGTAGAAAAACACCTCTCAACAAAACGAGGAGACGAAAGCCAATCCCGCAGTCAAAATCTCATTTCAAGCAGCCCATGAACAATCGAGGGAGGCAAAACATGTAGTCGCAGGTCGTAGCACGAAAGTGGTCCAAGAAAACTGGCATGCTGTGTGTCAATCAGAGTTCTGAGCGGTATAGCCGCTGCAAATTGAATTCCGGCAATGCTCGGTCTTTTTCGCCGAGCGAGGGGTATGTGGTGTGGCGTGAAATTGGAGGTGAAGCGACTGTACACACTTGAAACTCAAAAGTCGGCTGCATATCGAAAAGAAACATGCACTAGAATGACATGCTGAATGCTCAGTACGTTGAAAGGACAATCACCGTATTAGCCCGGCGGCTCAAAAGGCAGTGAATTCAAGGTGGAAGAAAGCAGTTAAGAGAATCCAAGGTTTGGTGAAAACGGTCAAGGCAGTTACACGAGTTCCGGCATGAAAACGGCGCCTCCTTGCTGAGGATCACACCCAGCACCCAAGTGGGACGGCTGAGCGGTTCACACTCTGACATTGGTTTGCTCAATTCCCAGGTGAAAAGAGGTGAGAGAACTGCATGGCGAAAGGTCCAGGAAAGTGTAGGTGTTTTAACAAAATGGTTTTCGCACTTGACTGCGGAAAGCGCACAGCGGCAAAGCGGCTGCAGGTCAGCGATGGGAAAAGGTTTAGGGGAGGTATCGTGGAACCACCATGGAAGCAAACAAGAGAGATTGGAACAGCGTGGGCAAAAGTTCAAAATAGTCGCAGGTACGTGAACCTGGCGTCCCAGGTTCATATCCTCTCCAAACATCAGTAGCTTCGTTGGCCACAGACTGATGAATGGAGCTGTGGCCCCCTGCTGTGGTAGCAGAACAAAAGCACAGGACCCTTTGGAACAAGGGTTGAGACACACACACACACACCCTTGTTTGTTAAACTCAGGTCACAAAACTTGATGTGTGAAACCTCACGCATGTGCGCAAACAGCGAAAGGCTATCCTGCGAATTGCAGCGCGCTGCCCTTGAATCCAATCGCAGCTCAGTCATTCACTTTTTCTTGTCCATGGTCCTTCTTCCAAGGGCCATCTGAGGTGTTCGGAAGCTTTGATGAAGGCCCACATTATGCTTCAGAGCAAGTGAACGAAAGCTAGACTTGCTGTGGGGTCGCAGCAGGTTGTCCCACCCAGATCTGGCTCTTGCGGAGGCGCGCTGGCAGACAAAATATACTATATAGTTGACATTGGTTATATCGAAATAATTGTATTACTGTATAGTATAGTAATTAATATCCCAAGTTTATTCTGCATTTCCAGGCAAGCGCCGCCCTCGTCTGGGAGGCCGAGATACCCAGATACCGTACAAGATCCTAAGTGCATTGGTGCATCCTGTGTGGCCGGATCTTTACCGCGTGCACTTCACTAGGGCAATCAAGACCTGCCACGCTCTTGCACCTACACGGACGGCATACCACCTGATTCAAGTGGCCTGTTATTTTTGAGAAGAGTGAGAAAAGCGCCTTGAACAACCAGGGAGTAGAAATGTAAGTTTGGGTGGAGTAGCTGTATCATGCTGTATAAATTGCTGTATCTAAATCAGCGTACAAAACTGCGAGTGCTGAGTATTGACTTTTCGCCAGAAGCCAGGATAGCTTGTTTCCTCATGAGATCCTGTAGCATAGCTCAGAGTTGAGTCAGCAATTCGTCAGCAATGGCGGCCATCGCAGTCTTCAGGAGCCCGCTCCACAGCCAAATTTGCACCACTGCGGGGGGCAGACGAGGCTGTGATTTTTTCCACACGCATGCAATTCCAGACTAGGCTTGCCTTAGGAGATGGCTGTCCAATTTGCTTTCGGCCTTTATAGTGGTGATTCAGTGGTGTATGGCAGCTGCGGTTTTCATTCATGGATCAAGCAATGCACATTCATGAGTTGCTTGCATGGGTTCTGGTAGATCGAGTTGCCCAGCCCCTGGAAAACAAGCACGTGGCATCCACAACCTCCCAAAAATTACAAAGACAGCTTGCCTAGATATGTAGTGTGTGCAGCCCTACATCCATCCACCAAGTTTGCATTGAGAGCCATGCCAGCGTTGTCGGAAGAGGACATTCTTGGACTTTGGCGTTTGCGTTCATTGCTGCTCGTCAAAACTGGTGTTAGACTTATTTGAGGCCGTTTTTGCCACCATGTTACACTAGGGGCACACCACAACCACGAAGCTCCCCTAGTAACATCTAGTAACAATTTATTTTAGACATTTCCTGAGCCCTTTTGCAGCCATCGCCCGAATAAGCCTCTACCTCAGTGTACCTGAAGGAAAGCATTCTACTAGTCAAGCGAATGGAGTTGAAAGGATGCAGGAAGTGAATATGTTGTTGCAACCGTTAATATTTTGTTGCAACCGTCTAATCAGTTCGAACCGGAAAGGATATTGTATCTCACTTAAAATATACAATTCTACTATTGTTAGAAAAACGACTGTGCATCATTGTAGACGTGGAGGTTGGGAAGGTAAGGTTGTTTTGTAACCTACTAACCTGATAGAGTCAAGAGTCAAGGTGTTTTTTGTGCAGCAGGAGGTTAAGTCTAGTATTGCAACACACTGAGAAACCACGTATGAACCTGTGAACACTTCCTTCACTGTTCGCTGCCGTTACGCTTAGGCGCCTTGAGCTCAGAGAAAAGATAGCGTGATGGCCGAGTGAGTTGAAAGAGACCGCGGCGCTGTTTGTTAGCTTTGTTTGAACTCAGTTCCTGGTCGGTCCCTTCGTTCAGCTTCCACTGAGAAATCAGTGGTAGCGGAGCTTTGGGATCGCTCCAGCGCTCGCCATGGGCCCCTGGGTACAATCTGGTCTAGATCCTGTCAAGGTTCACAGCATTGCATGTCACCACCTGGAACACATACTTTTGCCACGTCGGTTGGACAACAGTCGTTCGATGTTGGACAAGGGTTTGCTTCGCAGCCAGCGTTGTATCCTGGAGGACCCCAAGGAGCGCCGCAGACCTTGACGCCTGACGGCGCCGCCGCAGGCACCTCTGTTCGTCTCACATTTAAGGAGCTGCGGGAAATCGTCGACTTCAGTCAAATGTGAGTCCAATGAATCAGTCGTTTTCAGGACCTTGTGCCGCCTTTGGACCTACCTCCCAAGGAGCTTCGTCAACCGTCGGAGGACAGCTCGGTGGAAGTTGCACCGGATCGGCCGGGAACTGGTTACAGCACTTAGATGCGAATGCATCACCACCCCCTCAAACGAGGACAGTCAGCAGTGCTTTTGAGCTTTTCGGGAAACCTTTTGGTGGATCCATGCCATCTCAAACCCAGTCACCATCAACGCCTGTGCAACAGAATGAACTTATGTTGAGAGCATTGACAGCAGCATTGAGCGGTGACAAGAAGTCATTTCCAAGTTGGTTGGAACGGGAGTGTTGAGACCCTTCGACCTTCGCTGAGACAGTTGAGTTGTTGGGAGCTGGACAACAATGTCTCTTGATCACATTGGGGCATCAAGTTGTTGCAGAGCTTTACAGATGGCAGTGCACCACGGAAGATAGCAGAAACCGTGGGCCTCGCTGTTGTGATGACAGAACAAGGGTATGGGATCATTCTCACTGAGACCATGGCCAAGTATGGGCCTTATTTAGAGGTCATTGGACC